AAGGAAAAGAAGACCTCCCCAGTCAGTGGACTTGAGAAGGGACATGCATACAGAGGGTGGAGGAAGGGAGGGATTGGGATGGGAGGAGAGAGGGAACCACAGTGGGGATACAATGTGAATATAGTGTAATTAATAAAGAATTAAAAAAAAAGATTCAGTTTTGGTTTTGTTTTTTATTCTTCTGCTTTGGATATATCCTGAATATTTAAAAGATAGAATAATGTTTACTATTTAGTATATAACGAATTAATATTTAATATATAAGTTAATCTTAAAGATATTATTTTCAGTTTTTCCATGATTAGACATTATAAGAAATATTGTTAGAGGAAGTAAAATGCCTGAAAGAATTTTCTGAGAAAAAAAATACTATAAATTTACTTAAAGAGTATTTAACATACTATCCAAGAACATCTTTAGATAGTGTGTAAAATGCATGTTTTCAAAAATGATAAAAATAATCCTATTGAATGCATTATTTGTAAAAATAAACAACAAAATCTATTATTTTAGTATTCTTTTTTTACACCATGAATAAATTATTTTGATTTGTACCATGTCTCTAAGAACATTTCTGACCGTGGTCTGTACTTCAGTGAGAAAAGTAGCATACTCATGATTAGATGTTGCATCATTTACTGCTTGACACCTAGTAACCAAAGAAGTGGGTAGGATCAAAGTTATCTGAATTCCATCTTAGCATAATTTTAGTATTAAAGAAACAGCTTACCTTTGCAAACTGTCATTTAAAAGTAGAACACTCAGGGGACAAAATTCCTTTCTTCATCCTGAGGATAGGAGTGCGGAGGCTCTTGTGCCCAGCATACATGTAAATGACAGAGGACAATGAGTAAGACTTGGCTCTGTCATCATGTATATTTAAGTAAGGCTATCAAGCTTGGTAGAGGTGCCTTTACCTAGTGAACCATCAGTTTGATTTGTCCCTGACGTCTAGTCCCTCTGTCACAAACTGAAACTAGGAGTGAGGGTTTGGACATTTTCTGAGTGATGACAAAATGGAAGTATTGAAAAAAAAAAAAAAAGATGAGCCTTTTTATTACTGAACTTCAAAATTCTGAAATTAGGGTCAAAATTCTGATGTGAGAAGAAATGATTTGTGTTTCAAGAACTCTTTCCAAAGTGATTAAGTGTCCTAGAGAAAAAGGAGGTCACAACAAGAAGATGATCAGGAGCTCATGTCTAAATATAGTGATGTCACATGTAATTATAAAGTCTTTGTGTGTAAATAAAAATAGCAGATTGGAAGTTTTCAGAGTGCGCGTGTAGTTGAAAAAAATATGTCAAGTTAGGACGGCCTCTGGAAAAAAGAAAGTTGGATACAGCTCTTCTTTCACACTGCAGAGAACAGAGCTACATGCTCACATTGGGATTATTACTCTGTGTTTTAGGGTAAAGAAGCAAATGTACAGAGTTGGCAGCATTTTCAAGTACTCAACAAATGACTAAAAATATTTTTTTTAAAAAATCATTTCTCTTAAGCTCTACTCTTCTGACTCAAATGATGATAATGAATCTATAGTGGTAAATTATAAACTTCATAGTTCCTATTATCCTCAAAGTCAAGAATATCACTCAAAAATTACTTTGTAGCAAGTTGATTCAAAAGCTTTCAGATAATTCATGCTTAAATCTCTATTATCTTCATTAAAGTAAAAGTATAACCAGAAATCATTATTTCCAAACCAAATAAACATGTTAGTGACTTAAATTTATACCCACTAAAGGTTTATGCATGTTTATTCACTCACCTAATATTTGCTATTCATGAACAAAAGCCTCTTGACACTGACTTTTTTTTTTCTTTTTTACATCCAAACAAGAAAGAAACCATGTTTATATGGGTACATCAGTTTAACAAACCACTCATTTAAACTTATGGGCTCTTTTTTTTTTTTAATCATTTGATCTCTCTGAGCATGAGGGACAACTTTTATTTCACCCCATTTAACATTCTAGTTTTCTTCAACCTAATTTATGACAGTGGTAAATATTATGCAGTAATCAGATTGTATTTTATGTTCTTATATTAAAAGACATGTGGTTTATATTCTAATTACTTGTTTATTCTTTTGTCCTCTTAGGTTTAACTTTCAATGTTAAGGTGACATTATTTGCACTTTGCACATATCATTTAGGACATGATAAGTGGGACATGTGGAATGGTTCTCACTCATAAACTGTGGTAATCTTTACACTTTCAATTGAGTGCTCGGTGTACTAGGAGGCCTCAGTCTAGCCAGGCTGCTCCTCAGTCTTTCCTATGTAAACATCTGACTCACAGAATGTTTTTCAGAACTGTCTTTGCCTAGGTCTCTGTCTTGAATTTGCAGAGTTGTACATTCTCACTGCTTCAAGGTCCCGAATCCAACGTCTTCTTTCTCTGCTCAAAATGTAACTGCCTTTTTGTCTAGGTGTCTCACAGCACAGATAGGCCTCCTGTCTGTGAGTTGAAGCCATCATTGCATTGTTATCCAGCTCATTTAATAAATTTTCTTTTATGAAATGGTGATGATCATAATGGTAAAATGGTATGATTACAATGATTTTTTTTTCACTTTGTTAATCCTGTGCCACTCATTCTGATGAAAGAGATAGGACAAAGTTGTGTTTGTCACATTTTTCTGGGTAGAGATCTGTTTCACATGGCTAAGGACATGTACTTAACCTTCTTGATTTAAAAGTGTTTGAAGATGATTAAGAGATGTTGGGCTTTAAGGTATGTAAGAATTGATAAACTGTCTGGCTACTCTAGGAACTTGCTTGTTGGTGTCCACAGACAGGTCTTACTCTTCCTAATTCCATGGATCACCCAGCTCCTCCAGGATCACATACTTCTCTTCTGTCTTATAGGCCCTACTTCTCCATCCCTCCCCACCAGACCCACTGAGCAAAGAATGCTCAACAGTATTTTAACTTAGGCTTCTCCTAAACTTTGAACAAGCTACCACTGAAAGAACTGCAATATGAACAAAATGAAACAAAGATTCAAACAACAGCGTAAGGTGTGGAAGGCCCGGTACAGAAACTTCCTTCTAAAAGACCAATTCCATTCTTATGAATCCCAATGAACCTTCCAGACATGTAAGAAGAGAGCAGGGCAAAAATTGTTGAATAGGTGCTGAAAAAATAAAACCTGTCATGTAAAAGGAGGTGCCTAAGACATAACTTGAGTAATAAGGGAGTGAAGAAAGTTAAAGTGCCCAGAGATAAATGAGTCAAATGGCAAGTGCTAACCGATGAATTCAGAGAGATTGCTAAGTGATTAGACTATACAGAAGTTTGTTTGTTTTTTCCAAGTCTAGTACTCAATCCATAAATACTGCTAACCCTTGCAACTTCATTAAAATCTGAAGCTTCAATACTTACCTAAAACCAATTTAATAAGGCTCTACAATTTAATAAGTTCCCGGTGTAAGACAAATCTCAGTTATGACACTTTCCTCAGCCGTGAAGAGAATGTACCACTAATAATGAGTCAAGGTTAACTCCAAAATTATGTTTCTTGTCAAATAAGCAAGGCATTTACTCACCTGGACTGTATTTTAGGAAAAGCAGGCTTCACAAAGGGTGCTTGTGCATGTGTGTGTGTGTGTGCATGTTTATGTGTGTTTTTGTGTGTGTGCATATGTATGTGTGTTTTTTTGTGTGTGTGCATGTGTGCATGTGTGTGTGTACTTTTTATTTGGTAGGGCAGTAGATATTTGTCTACTATATGTCTGCCTTACTCTGTGTCTGTCTGCTGTGGGTGTTACTATCACTTAAAAATCTCTGAGAGTTGATTTGAAGTTCTGGAACTCTAGAAAGTAGGTAACTAGATTAAAGAAGAAAACTATTGTAAGAAAAACATTACAATGATACTGTAAGAAAGTGGAAATATAATATAATCCATAAAATTTTTATATGTGTGGATTTGTAAACTCAAAAATTAAGAGTTAGTTACAGAAAATTTTTAAATAATTAAACTGCATGGAAAGGGTTTAAACTTCTGATCAAAAATGATTCTAAAATTTGCCCTTTGTGTGTTATAATATACTCAGTTAGATCTAGAGAAAATTTCAAACAGGAGGTCTATATAAAAATGTAAGCTTGCACATGTTGTGTGTTCATTCTGTTGTATATAAATATATTTAGATGTGTTGTTGGAAATTAAGAGCTCTGTAGTCATGTGTATGAAGAAAATAGCTGAACAGTGAATATAAGCTCCAGTTTCCACCTGCTCTGTTAAATTCTACTTCTAATCAATGCGAAGAGTTTATTTAAGTCAATGTTTTACCTCAGAGCTCACTAAACATTGCTTTACTGGCAGAAGGCTCAGGAATATATTCTTACGATACAAATCAAACTTGGGGAAAAAATGAGATACTAATGTAAAGGTTTAGGAATTTTTTATTATCACTAAATGAAAAGTAGCTTCTGTTTTGATAGAGAAAAGAGTGCTTTAATACAATGGGATATGATGAAATTATATGGGAAAGAATAGTAAACATTAATAGGGCATGATCCTAATTCCGTAGGAAAAAATTTCTGGAGATTATGATCAGTGTGATTAGTATTTAGCAAAAATAAAGGTGACATTTATAAAGAAAGCTGAGGTTAAACCAATTAATATACTCTAAATTATTCTTATATACTGGCTATTTATTTTCCTGTGAGCTCCTACAGGTAGTTTCATACTACACATATTCTTGTCCTAGTCAACTCTAATCACCTCTCAGCTTCTAAGAACAGAGCAGCTAACAGTTTATCAGGATCAGTAGTAGATTACTTGTGTTCTGGCTCTCAGTTTTCATCCCTGTTCCTATTAAAAGATGCTCATGGAAAACAAGATGTCAGTCTCCTTTCTCTATTCTGCGTTTAACACAAGGAAACATATGCTGAGAGATGACAGCAGCTCTACTATGAATGAGACCATAAATGCAACAGAAACACACACACACACACAAACACACACACAAATACCCTAATCAGAGCTACCACCTCCTGCCCCTAGAGGCCTGCACGTGTGGCTTCTCTGTCACCTGTGCTTCAGCGTGTGGCAGAGAGGAAAGAGGTTCTCTGTGCTCAGTGTTCTGGCATGTAAACACCTGAATGATTAGTAGTCTGACATACCTCGAAAAGAGCGAGCCTGATGTGAATAGCCAGCGATGCCACCTGTGACCATGGTGGGATCCCAGCCTGTGCTGCCACAGAGTGTCATTTCTGGGTTCCTGACCCTGCAGCAGAAGGGGTCTTTTACCACCAAAGGCCAGAAGCGTTTCCCTGCTCTGGGCTATCTCCGGATGTCTGAGGGCTGTGCAGAACTGACCCCAGCCTTCACCTGGGTATTCTGGGAGATAGGAACATGAGAGCAAGAATGCTGACCCTGCCCCAAGCCAGCCACAGTGTTTAGTAGAGCAGTCCCAGCACATGTGGGAGTTGAAGATGAGCTGGGAAGAGAATATGAGCTTAGGAGAGATGTCCCTACCACTCATCTCCAGTACAGTGGTGTGGGCAAGAGAGATACACTCCTCCCACCTCTCCTTTTACCACCTGTGCAGGTGGGAGATCTGGCCCTTAGGTCATGAGAGCAGGAGAGCTGTCCATGCCCCTCACTAGCTTCAGCACTTGGGAGAGCAGGTCCTGTATCTCACCTGGGCAGCATAGTAAAACTTACCCTGGATGTAGGAGTTGTGGGTGAGCTGGCCCTGAGGCCATGAGAGAGGAAGAGTCAGTGAGATCACTAACTCAAATTCCTCTGAGGCTCATATCCAGAGTTTTAAATTGGCCCACTCCAACATCTACCTCATTGATGAACTGGAGCGCATGAAGGGTCAGTTCTACAGATCCAAAACTACAGGATCTCCATGACACATGTCAACCCCTAAGACCCATAAGCAAACCTTCGGCAGAAGGGGAGTTAGTATGACGTGGAAAGGATAGGAGCTCCACAAGGACCAAATATATCTGGGCACAGGGTCTTTTCTGAAACTGTTTCTCCAACCAAGGACCTAGAACCTAGAACCTTTGCTCAGTCAAAACTCGTGGTAGCTCAGTAACCAATTGTTTTCCCATAGTGAGGGGAACAGGGACTATTTCTAACAGGATCTCCAGGGCAGGCTCTTTGACCTCCCCACCCCCTAATGGAGGAGCAGTCCTGCTAGACCACAGAGGAGGACTTTGCAGCCAGTCCTGAAGATACCTGATAAAACAGGGTCAGATGAAAGGGGAGGAGGTCCTCCCCAATCCGTGGACTTGGAAAGGGGCAGGGAGGAGATGAGAGAGGGAGTGTGGGGTTGGGAGGGAATAAGGGAGCGGAATAGAGCTGGGATACAGAGTTAATAAAATGTAACTATAAATATAATAAAATTAATATAAATATAATAAAATAAAATAATAAAAAATTGTCAAAAAATAAATAATAATTTAAAAAGAATATGGAAGAAGGGTCTCAGTGTGCGTGGTTTCAGTGTTGATAGAGTCGCAGAAGTCAGAGGCCTTGAGCCAGCAAAAAGAATCATTGCAATGAACGTTTGTGAGCAAAGAAATGTGAACCAAAGGGTATAGTGTAGGGCACACTGTGACACGTTACAGCTTCCACAACAAGATTTGTTTTTCTCTGTTTGGGGGGAGATTGCAAGGGTAGAAAGCAGGTATGAGGAGAGGAAAAGGTGAGTGGGATTGGGGTGCATGAAATGAAATTCACAAAGAACCAATGAAAAGTTAAAACCACCACAACAAAAGAACTACCACCTATGGTCCATCCAACACTTAAGGCCATAAAATACTAAATACCTGAGTAAAATGAGATCCAGTCAACATTAGAGCATACCTTAGATGCATGTTAGCTCTTGTGGGTGTTCTAAGCATACAATTACACTGAGTACTGCAATTTTACAAACTAGGAACTAATGTATGTAGAAAGTTAAAAATTAAATGCAGCACCGATTTGAACCTTGCAACTAGAAACAAACCCTACTCATAAGTATCATTTTCTTTAAGGGGGTCTCTAAAGAAAGGTGTTGAAGTCCTCTATGAATGTTTTCGAATACGTGAGTTACATGCATAGTCAGTCAATAATAGAAAGGATGAGTACTTTTTCATTTAATTATTTTTCATTTAATTATTATTTTACTGCATTTAACCATTTCTGCCTCACTCACTCCCACTGAAGTACCTCATGTGTCTCTCATGAGACAATGACTTCAAATTTATGACTTCTTCATATTTACTTTGTAGGGTACTGTTTATATCTTATATATATATATATATATATATATATATATATATATATATCTTGCTTAGTTAATTTAGTGTTACTCTTACGTTCATGTTTATGTGCTTAGGGTCGACCTGTGGGGACTGGATAATTTATTAAGGAGGAGCTCATCATTGAAGACTGAATATCTTCCTCTCAACAGCCATTAATTACCTGTAATTTTTTTAACACAATATTTTGATTGATTCTACGGAAATTTCATATCTTACACCCTGATCTCATTCATTTCTCAGTCTTTCCATATCCACCCTACCCTTGTGACTTCCTCCCCCAAAAGAACATAAAAATTCATATTTTAAAACAGTCCAATTTTTGTTATCTACATACTCATTGGAGCATGGTGAAACTCTCAGTGACCTGGCCCTTAAATAGAACTGAGTAATTCCCCTCTCATGACTCCACCTGAGGCCATCAATTGTAGAAAGATAATTTCAATACCCTTATCACACATTTTATGACTTTTCTTTCATGGTTTCCTGCTTAGGCTGATACTTCTTTGAAGGAGTGGGGTCTGGGATGGAGGTAGGTGTTGTCACAGAAGCTTTCCATGTCCACTTTTCTCAACTATGTGTCTGTTATCAATATCACTGCAGAAGTGGTTTCCTTACCCTTTATCGCCAGCAGGACCACTGATCATTGGCTTCCCGTGGTTTCTGGCAGTAGCACAGACCGTGATTGTGGCCCAGGCAGCAGTAGGCCCACAGAGTAAGACAAGGCCCTCAGAGGCAGCCCTGACTGTGGACATTCCCATGGACTCAGGTGGCAGTGCAGGCTACGCACATCAGCATGGCACAAACTAAATACAGACCTTCCATATGATCCAGATAAGCTAATCATTGGCATTTAACCCAGAGATTCATCAGATCCACAGAGAGTTGCTCAGTCCTGTTCATCGCTACTGTAGTAAGAGGAGCTAGGAAAGGGAAACAAGCAAAATGCCCTTCAACTTACTCCTGGATGGCACATGTATGCTATGGGAATGTGACATATGTATAGTATGTTAAGACTATTTGGCTAGAAAGAATAATATCACAAAGTTTACAGATAAATATGTAAAAATAAAAAAAATATTCTACCTAGTGAGGTACACTAGACCTGGACAAACAAAAGTCATGTTCTTTCATATTTATAGGCATATTACTAATAAAAACAGTAGACCTAATTATAAGTAATTTTAGGGTTTATAGATTGAGCAAACATGGAAGGCATATTTAGTACTACAAAAAAATCAGTGATTATTAGCATAAAGAAGATAGATTTGGCAAAGTTGTAGTCTGACTATAATACCTGAAGAAGCAACTGTGGTGTTGTTTTACGTGGTCTAAATGTATGTAGTCATCTCAGCAGAGTATAAAGTACCTTAACCCATTGAGAAGGATGAAAACAGTACTAAAATAAATGGTGGGTGAATATGTCAACTCCATCATTCTGTACCAGCCACTCTCAATTAAAATGGAATTCTAATGAAGAAAACAGCGTACTGCCTCCTTCTACACCTTAAATTGGTAAATTGTTTCAATAGTGTATGCATTTTTTTTGTTTAGAAAATCATTTTCTGTAGTCTGAAACAAAGCTTATAAACAGGCCGTAAGGGCATATTTTCTCCTACAAAAGCTCTGCTAGACCCCTACATAGTTAATGTTGTTTATGACCTTTATACTCTCATAGCAAACAACTTTTTTATACCAATTGCATCATATACATCAAACCATATATCCATTTCACAGGAAAAAAGCACCTCTAAGCGTACATCATAAGGTTTCATATGTTCATTTAAAGAAAGAAAACGTTGTAGGCTGGATTAAGTAGCATATGAATGAACAAGCAGGATAAACCAGTAAAATTTAATTAAGCCATTTAGTACCCCATAAAAGCAAGAACACATAAAATTCAGATGTAAACGACGGGAAGGGGGGTGGTTCACTACAATTCTAATCTTTTAGGGACTCAAAAGGGCATTGGGTATCACAAAATGACATGCTTTTTTTTTCCCCATATACATTCTGATTTTAAGCACCAGTAGTCATAGAAGCAGCCTTTACACAATAAAACTCTGTCCACTCTATTCTTAATGTTGCCTTGAGCAGCTGAGGAGATTAAAAGATGCAGAAAAAAACACCTCACAGGATCAAAGAAATGGTTGTAAGATGGAACCTACTGCACTGATCCAACAAGACGTGAAATCTGAGGAAAACACCTTGGTTAACAATTGAGTGTTTAAAACTGTTTGCCTACTACATTCTCTCATTAACTCTTTGCAATGAGATGTTAGAGGAAAAACACCCAAACATGATCTAAGGAGCCAGAAATAAAAGAGCCTTCTAAAAGGACTGAAACCATGAAGACTGCAGTATCCTTGCTTCCATAGCAACCATTTCAGAACTCTAAACTGTATTTTTGTATCTCAGAGTTATTGTGTCACCTATTTCTTTTAAATCGGACCTCATTATTGGTATGAGTAGAGTCTGAAGATTTCTTTTCTTAATTAATTTATTTTTAATTACAGTTTATTCACTTTGTATCCCAGCTGAAGCTCCCTCCCTTGTCCTGTCCCAATCCTACCCTCCTTCCCTCATTTCCTCCTATGACCCTCCACAAGTCCACTGATAGGGGAGGTCATCTTCCCCTTCCCTCTGACTCTAGCCTATCAGGTATCATCAGGCCTGGCTGCATTGTCTTCCTCTGTGGACTGGTAAGGCTGCTAACCCCTAATGGGGAGATGAACAAAGAGCCTGCCACTGAGTTCATGTCAGAGACAGTCCCTATTCCCATTACTAGGGAACCCACTAGGACACTGAGCTGCCATGGGCTACATATGTGCAGGGGTTCTAGGTTACCATCATGCATGGTCCT